GAGTGCTTACAGCTCCCAAAGCTCCAGTGGGTGTGTGTTACAGTGGGCTGTTACAGTGGGCTCTTCCAGTTTTGCTGTCTGCAGGTGGCTTATGTTAATCAGCTCAATTAGACCCTCTGCCTTATGGCAAGGACAGAGGGCTTTCTGTATCCCAGATTCTTGCCCTAGTATACCAGAAAAATCAGATGACAAGTGGGCTTGGAGGATGGGTGCAAAGTTTTATTGAGTGGTGGAGGTAGCCCTCAGTGAGGTGGATGGGGAACAAAAGGTGAGGTGGAGTGGGAAGGTGGCCTTTCCCTGGAGTCCAGCCCCAAATGAATTCTGCGTCGTCCCACCTTGATGGCCTGCCTGTGTCTGCTGGTGTCTGTCAGTGTGCTCTTCTGCTCCTTTTGATGTTCAGCCACTTGTGTGTGTCATGCCCGCTAAGGTCTCTCAGGTTTATATGGGCACAGGATGGGGGCATGGCAGGCCAGAGTGGTCTTGGAAAATACAACATTTGGGAGCAAAACAGTAGTGCCTGTTCTCACATAGGTTCACAGGCAAAGGCCTGAGGGTGAAGCCCTTGCCAGGGACACCACCCTTCTCTACCCAACATTTCTCTGTCCCCCACCGCCCACCATATCAACCTCAGACTGAGAAAGCAGCAAAGATCTGAATGCTTTAACTACACCTTGAACAAACTGCAGCTGCCCTAAGGAGAAGAGGCTAGTCTGTCTCCCCCATGAGCCCTCCATCCCCCCTGCTCATCACCAGGCAGTGCCCCCCAAGCTTGGGCCCATAATACAGCCACCTCACACCAGGCTGACTGCACTGTCAGCAGCTCTGCATTTCTCTAGGGTAGAGCCCCAAGAGACAAGTGAAAGGTCCTCAGCCACAGTCACTGACCTTGGCAAGTTTCCTTCCCCTGTTGTCTCCAAGCAAGGTAAGGAACATAAAACCTGAGCTTGCCCCAGGGCTGTGGTGTGCAGCCTGGGAGTACCAAGAAATGACATGTAGCCAGCACTCAAGTGGGAGAGGAGCCCACTTTCAGAACACTAAGAGACTACAGTTGAGAAGAAATAGAGGTGCCACATTGCTGAGCAAAGCTTGCCTAATGCTCATTATGCTTAAGTGGCATCTACTGGATCACAACCCAAAAATATTTTTCAACATCAAAATCATTTTGCTAATATATCTACCTCCCTGTGAAACCAAGGACAAGAACTCAGCTACAAATAAATGTCCTGCATAAAGTCTCAGTCCTCTGAAAACATCCAGAAAGGAAGTCAACTGACTATACTCAAATTACACCACAGTTGATGGAAAATCAGCCCACACAGACCCAGCACAACAACTCTGGCAACTCAAAAATCCAGAGTGCCTCCTTTCGCACAAAAAATCACACTAGTTCCCCAGCAAGAATTCTTAACCAGACTGAAATAGCAGAAATAGAATTCAGAATCTAGATAGAAATGAAGATCATGAAGATTCAGGAGAAAGTGGAAACCCAATACAAGGAATCTAAGGATTATAATAAAATGATACAAGAACTGATAGATGAAATGACCATTATAAGAAATACTCAGCCGGGTGTGGTGACTCATGCCTGTAATCCCAGCACTTTGGGAGGCCAAGGCAGATGGATCATGAGGTCATGAGATTGACCATCCTGGCCAAGATGGTGAAAGCCCATCTACTAAAAATACAAAAATTAGCCAGGCATGGTGCTGTGCACCTGTAGTCCCAGCTACTCAGGAAGCTGAGGCAGGAGAATCGCTAGAACCAGAGAGGCGGAGGTTGCAGTGAACCAAGATTGTGCCACTGCACTTCAACCTGGGCAACAGAGAGAGACTCCGTCTCAAAAAAAAAAAAAAAAAGACTCAAACTGATCTGATAGAGTGGAAAACACACTACAAGAATTTCATAAGGTAATTGTAAGTATCAACAAAATAATAGACCAAGTTCAGGAAAGAATCTGAGAGCTCAATAACTGGTTCTCTGAACTAACTTGGTCAGAGAAAAAAAATGAACAAAACACTAAAAAAATAAGGGATTATGTAAAGAGACCAAATCTACAATTCATTGGTGTCCCTGAAAGAGATAAGGAGAGAGCAAGCAACTTGGAAAATATATTTCAGAATATCATCCATGAAAACATCCCCAGCCTCACTAGAGAGGCCAAAATACAAATTCAGTACCAATGTGAGGTACTACACAAAAGACCATGGCCAAGACACATAATCTTCAGATTCTCCAAGGCTAAAATAAAAGAGAAAAAGTGAAAGGCAGCTGGAGAGAAGAAGCAAGTCACCTACAAAGGAAACCCCATTAGGCTAACAGAGGACCTTTCAATAGAAACCTTACAAGCCAGAAGAAATTAGGGGTCTATATTCAGCCTTTTTAAAGAAAACAATTTCCAAGCAAGAATTTCATATCCAGCCAAACTGAGCTTCATAAGCCTCATAGAAATTAGATCCTTTCCAGATAAGCAAATGCTAAGGGAATTCATGACCACCAGACCTGCCTTACAAGAAGTCCTGAAAGGAGTACTAAATATGGAAAGCGAAGACTGTTACAAGCTACTACAAAAACACACTTAGGTATAAAAACTATTGATCCTATAAAGCAACCACATGAACAAGTCTGCACAATAGCCAGCTAGAAACATGATGAAAGGATCAAATCCACACATACCAATATTAAACTTGAATGTAAATGGGCTAAATTCTCCGATTAAAAGTCACGGAGTGGCAAGCTGTATAAAGAAGCAGGACTGAATGGTATGCTGTCTTCAAGAGGCCCATCTTACATGTAATGACACCCATAGGCTCAATGTAAAGGGATAAAGGAAAATCTAACAAGCAAATGGAAAACAGAAAAAAGCAGGGGTTGCTATTCTAATTTCAGACAAAGCATACTTTAAACCAACAAAGATCAAAAAAGACATGGAAGGACATTACATAATGGTAAAGGGTTCAATTCAACAAGAATACCTAACTTTCCTAAATATATATGCACCCAACACAGGAGCACTCAGATTCATAAAGCAAGTTCTCAGAGACCTACGAAGAGACTTAGATTCCCAACAATAATAGTGGGAGACTTCAACACCCTACTGACGGTTTTTAGATAGACCATCCAGTCAGAAAATTAACAAAGATTTCCAGGATCTAAACTTAACACTTGACCAAATGGAACTATTAGACGTCTACAAAATGCTCTACCCAAAAGGAACAGAATATACTGTCTTCTCATCTGCACATAGCACACGCTCTAAAATCAACCACACAATTGGACATAAAACAATCCTCAGAGAATCTAAAAAAAATGAAACCAGACCAACCATACTCTCAGGCCATAATGCAATAAAAATAAAAATAAATACTAAGAAAATCACTCAAAACCATACAATTGGATGGAAATTAAACAACCTGGTCCTAACCTTTGGGTAAACAATGAAATTATGGCAGACATCAGGAAATTCTCTGAAACTACTGAGAACCAAGAAAACATACCAGAATCTCTAGGACACAGCTAAAGTAGTGCTAAGAGGAAAGTTTATAGTGCTAAAGGTCCACATCAAAAATTCATAAAATCTCAAATTAGCAACCAAACATTACACCTAGAGAAACTAGAGAAACAATACAAAACAAACCCAAAGCTAGCAAAAGACAAGAAATAACTAAAATCAGAGCTGAAATGAAGGAAACTAAGATGCAAAAAAACATACAAAAGATCAATGAGTACAAGAGTTGATTTTTTGACATAAGAAATATGATAGACCACTAGCTAAGCTAATAAAGAGAAGAAGAGAGAAGATCCATATAAACAATCATAAGCGCCAAAAAAGACATTACCACCAGCCCCACAGAAATATAAAAAACCCTCAGAGACTGCTATGAACACCTCTATGCACACAGACTAGAAAACCTAAAAGAAATGAATATATTCCTGGAAACATACAAACTCCCAAGATTGAGCTAGGGAGAAATTGAATCCCTGGACAGATCAATAAAGAGTTCCAAAATTAAATCAGTAATAAAAAGCCTACCAACCATAAAGGACCCAGGACAAGAATGATTCACAGCCAAATTCCACCAGATGCATAAAGAATAGCTTGTACCATTCTAACTGAAACTACTCTAAAAAATTGAGGAGGAGGAACTCCTCTCTGACTCATCCTATGAGGCCAGCTTCATCCTGATACCAAAACCTGCAGAAATACAACAAAAAAATCTTCAGGCCAATATCCTTGATGAACACAGATGTAAAAATTCTCAACAAAATACTAGCAAACTGAATCCTGCAGCACATGAAAAAGTTAATCAATCACACTCAAGCAGGCTTTATCCTGGGATGCAAGGTTGGTTTAATAATCACAAATAAATAAATGTGATTTACTATATAAACAGAATTGAAAACAAAAACCACATGACTATCTCAATAGATGCAGAAAAGGCTTCTGGTACAATTCGATGTCCTTCATGTCAAAAACCCTCAATGAACTAGACATTGAAGGAACATATTTCAAAATAACAAGAGCCATCTATGACAAACCCATAGCCAACATCATACTGAATGGGCAAAAGCTGGAAGCATTCCCCTTGAAAACCAAAACAAGACAAGGATACCATCTCTCACCATTCCTAGTTAACATAGTACTGGAAGTCCTAGGCAGAGCAATCATGCAAGAGAAAGAAATAAAAAGCTTGTAAATATTAATAGGAAGAAAGGAAGTCAAACTATCTCTCTTTGAAGATAATATGATTCTATACATAGAAAATCCCATAATTTCAGCCCAAAAGTTCCTTAAGCTAATAAACATTGCATTAGTAGGTGACTGGATCTATATCAATTATGCATTTTCTACAAAAAAGAAACCACTATGAAAGTAAGCATAAACATTAAATTACTTCTAGCTGTTGAGATTATGAGGGAAAAAACCTGTCAAGTTAACAAAGACTTCCTCAGGAAATAATTTTGTTGTACATTAAGAAATTGTTTAATCCATAGGTTCTTACCGTTCTCGGTTAAATTTAAGAGAATGGAGAATGGCTGGCCTTTTTTGTCTAAGGTTCCACAAATGAAGTGTATCATCTGAACTTGCACTGACCAAGGCACCCTAGAACAAAAAAAAGATAAAGTAAGTGTGTGATTTACTTAATTAAGGGTTTTTGTGAAGCACAAACAAGCTAATTTACTCAATTTTTTTACTATCTGAAGAGTTACTTGCGTCTATATAACCCAGAAATATCAGGAAGGATAGGTGCATAAACTTCAATCAGGAAGGGTAAGAATGCTGAAAGTAGAAGAGGCAACTGACCCACTGCATTTCGACGGTCAGAAAGACTAGCTTAAGGAATATTTATTTACCAATAGAGAGGATTAATTATTATAGCATCATTATGATCATTAAAGGTTTTTCTTTGGGAAAAAATAGTTTAGGGATGTTTTTGTTTCTACTATTTACACATATACTATATAGCCTTACAGAGAAGCAAATATTCAATGCAGTCTTACAAAATTGAATACAGGTCATATAAAAATTCTCCTGTGCAAGAATTTTCTGTATATTTGGAAAGTGTATATTCTTCCTGAAAAGTATATTTGGTATAATTTAATTTGCTTCTTATAGTCTAAGAAGCTTCATCAACAGTAAAGGAAAATATCCATAATAAAAGAAAACATTTCTCCAACTAGAATTTAGTATAACTATAAAATTATACTAAGATTCTTTTTATACAGCACCGCCAAATACAAATGAATCCTATTTCACATACAATAGGATATTTTCTACCTCTTAATGTGGCAGAAAGCATATGGACAGATAATAACTGTTTGTATGACTTTGCTTATATGCTTAAACTACTTATTTACTGGGTTAAATCAGATCATTTAAAAATGTTAGAACTTTTACCATAATGACAGTTGACCAGCTGAAAATGTCGATGCTTATCCATTAATGGATCCTAAATCCAGAGCATTAAATGTGTTCTCTAAGAGTGATCTTTCAGAACCTTGGTTGTCCTGAGATACCTGAAAGGCTTTTTATATTTTCCAAAGTACTTTGTTAGAAGTAATCTCTCATAGTTTACAGTATCAATCACAGATATCCCAATTAGATGCTAGGAAGAACTATATTGAAATCGCTAGCATTTATTTCTTCTTTCTGAATTAGAAGAGAGAAGATAGGAATCTAAATGCCCTTCTGTAACAATTTCTAAGCCAAAAAAAATGTTCATGTATCCTATGATGGGTCTCTTCATATTGGGTATGAGTGATTTTAGTCTCAGAGAGGAATGACTTTATAAAAATAGAAACATAATCAAAGATCATATTCACGAAAATATTTAGAAATTTATATGATTTGCATATTTGTATCTAATTACCTATATACATGTTCAAAGATGTATATATTGATATATATATCTTAACATGAACTCAGATAATTTCCTGCCATGAAATAGGAGGTATTCTATATATGCTTTGAGAATTTTTGTGTTTGTTTGCCTGTTTTATTTGTATACTGTACATATGCTTCCTATAAACCAACTAGAAATCTATTAGGATTCCTTGAAAGCATTTGATGAGCTACAATTGATTTTTTTGAGATACAGTATACTGGTCTCATTTCCCAGAGAGGTGGAAGTTCACCTGAGATAGGGTGAGGATAGAACATGATATGTAACAACAATAAAACATGCTCTACAAGAGATAGTTACATGCTATACAGAAGATATAACATGCCAAAGGCAAAATGGAATTAAAGTAGCATATATTCAATAATATCTTAGTGTAATACCTAAATAATTCTAGTGAGGAACGCAGTAATTTTTTTTTTTTTTTTTTTTTTTGAGATGGAGTCTTGCTCTGTTGCCAGGCTGGAGTGCAGTGGTGCAGTCTTAGCTCACTGCAGCCTCTGCCTCCCAGGTTCAAGCAATTCTCCTGCCTCAGCATCCCGGGTACCTGGGACAACAGGCGTGTGCCATCATGCCCAGCTAATTTTTGTATTTTTAGTAGAGACAGGGTTTCACCATTTTGGCCCAGATGGTCTTGATCTCTTAACCTCGTAATCCACCTGCCTCAGTTTCCCAAAGTTCTAGGATTACAAGCGTCAGCCACTGCGCCCAGCCAGCATTCTTAATTCTGTGATAAAACTGAGATGTGACTTATCATTGGAGGGAAGTGAGCGATACCACTAAGCCTAACAGCACCAACAGAGACAGATACGTGAAAGTAAGCACATCAGCAGAGTGTCCAGGTTCATTTATAAAAACAAAGTGAACCTACCAAAAGCACTATAAAGATCTGTAAAAATATTTAAAACTAAGAATAGAAAAACCAGTCAGGTCAGAAACTGGGAAGTTGGGAAAAGATACAGAAACTTTGTGTGAGGTACACAGGGCGAGTAGTTCAGGATAAATGATGTGAACAAGGCAAGGAGGTTGAAGGCTTGTCTTTATTTATTCTTAGTTATGTACCACAGGGGCAAACTTAGGACCTGGAAGACAAATCTCAAGGGATCAGATCCAATACAAATCACATGGAAACAAATTATGCCTGTAAGTGTATATCCATGCAGAAGGCAAACAGCTGAGATCCCTCAACAAGGAACTACAGAGTAGCACTGAGACCTCAAGACGCCTGACATTCTAGATAATAATGAGCAGTTATTACAACGAAATATTTTTCAAATGTTTTCTTTACCTTCCTTTCTCATTTCAGTACCCCACAGCAAGTGTGCCTACATTTGAAATATGCTAGGTTTGTCAATAAAGAGGATCTCACAGTCTTCTGAGAAAGATTTTGAGCCAAGAGAAGTGAAAAGTGAGCATTTGCCAATATCTTTCTTGCCTCGGGTTATCTCTGATATGAAGTTCTATGAGACATTTTACCCACATTTACAATGTAAGTTCTTAGGAAGATATACAGATATAGATATATGCAAATATATGCAGACACTGAATGAAAGATCATTGTCATGCCGTGAAAGAATAACCAAACTTTTTTTTCCGAGGCACTGAATTCAATTTTCTAAGTGCCTGCATTTGGCATGGCACAAACTTTTAAAGCACTTTTGCATTGACTGGCTCACTTAATATAAAATAAGCTCTAGAAGACTCTAATTTCCACTATAAAAATCTGATTCAAGAAAGCCTCAAGTAGCCTTCTACTAATGTAATATCTGCAACCTCTCTGAGCTTCATAAATACATATTTTGTTTTCAGAGAGTTCCTTATCACCATAATTTTATAAAAATGTAGATAAAGTAGAGAGCTAATTCCCATAATAGCTATGGACACAAAATAAATACAAATGTGTATCTATTCCAACAGATGCATTTGGAGATATATACAGATAAAAGGGCCAATATGTATATAAGCAAAAAGATCATTTCAGGGAAGATAAAGATAAAACATGAAGTTAGGCCTTGGTTAAAAAATTTAAGTTGGTGGGAAGTGAGTGGATAGAAAAAAAAATTAGTGGCCAGTGAAGCAATCAAAGGACATTAGGATTTTTAAAAAAATTTAAATAATTAAACTAAATTATGCTATATAGTAACAATAACAGAATATGATATATACAATCTTTTTTCTTTAGAATTTAATAAATAAACCAATACAGGAGTACAGTCTTTTGTGAAAAATGTAATCAGAAGTAATATTGAGTGCATATATATTTAAGCATTTAAAATCACAGTATTTAAAAATTACATTAACTGATTCACTGTGTAGTGGGGGAGTGTGTGATTTAAGTAGTCCAAAAATAATCCTTACCTCATTGATCAAAAATTGGAGCTGTAGGACAGCTGCGCCACTTTCATGTTGGCAATAGCAATCAACACCAGGTCTCCCGAGTCTAATATAATAAAAGTCAAGGATTCTAACATTTAATTAGCACCAATATTAATGAGTAAAGAAAATAACTTATTTAGCATCAGATGTTTTGCTTTTTAGTTTCCCTTATTTTTATAAATAGTTGAAAAATCTTACTCTTAGTAGATGTAAGTTAAATTGTATAGCTCAGATGTTTAATACTCCAACAATTTGAAAAATAGAATGACAGTAAGGAATTTGAAAGACAGCAGCTTTTTCCATGAAGTTAAAAAAGAATTGGGAATCCAGATACACCTCATTTCATTTAAGATATTTTAATTGATTAAACACTTTTTTCACTAAAATAAATTCAAAATGAGTCAATAATTTGACATAATTAAGTCATAAGATGAGTTAAAAAAGACACAGGTAAATATGTTGATAATCTTGACATATAAAAAATCTTCTAAGCATAATTTAAAACCCAGAGATCATAAAGAAATTGATTGACATAGTTGACTAAATAAAAGTATAAAATATCTACATAGAAAAACATTACAAATAAGGTAAAAAAAAAACAAGAAAACTAGAAAATAAATAGTAACAAGTCATCTACACTACACATAACATATAGGGAAGAGATAGAGAGAAAAAAAGGAAGGAGGAGGAATGGAGGTTAAAAAAAGGAATGAGAAAACACCATATAACAAAATTTACTTACATATTCTATACCAGATGATCTGATACATATGTATATTTACTTATCATTTGTTTGCTTGCATAAAGATATAAATTAGATGAGAGTCTCCACTTATGGTCATAATGAGGAATGTGGGCCAGATCTACTCACTACCTAAAACAATTAAAAATCTTACCAAATTTATGTAACAAATTTTAAGACACTACACATCAGGTAGGAAATGACAATGATCCCCGAAAGAAAGAAAATATATAAGGCGAGGCTTATGATAGCCCCAGTTTACTGCCTAGAGAGAATTTCAAGACTCCAGCACAAGGAGGGGGAACCCAGATAAAATCTAGCAGGCCTACTGAGTAAGGAGACAGAACTAACAGTCTAGGGAGGCCAGGGACAACTAGAGTTCATAGGGTTGAGTAGCAAAGAAGAAAATGTGACACAAAAAGAGCTCTAGAGATTTGCAGAAGGGTCCTCCTCAAATCTTTAGCTAAGTACTAATGAAGGAATAAGTTTGAGGAAACTACCTGAGACTGAGGAAAGAACAAACCAAGAAGAAAAAGTATACTTCTTGAAAAAGAAATCAAGAAAACAAACCGAAAGCAAAGTTTATATTGAGGCAAGAATTTTTCATGTTCCTACCAGCAAAAGTGCAAGCCCTCAGAATTCACATGCAAAGTACTCAGAGAATATTACCTCAGTATGAGGAAAAATTCCTCCCTAAGATAAAGACTGCTCTGGTTCTGCTTACCAATACTTAAAACCAGGTTACAAAAGGATCAAACTATTCCACATAACTTAACTGCATACTAAACAAAGACCAAGGATAATTATACAAATACAAAAAACTTTAGCACTCAAAAAGGTAAAATTCAAGAGGTATGCCATTCAATGCAGAGAACTAAAAAATATAACTTGTAACAAGGAGAAATATCAATAGAAAGAGACCCAGAAATAAAACAGGATAGAAATAATAGACAGAGATAGTAAAACATTTATTATACTACATTGCATATGTTGAAGAAGGTAGAGAGGAGATTGAGCATGTTAAGTAGATACACGGAAGGTAGATCTATCTATCCATCCATCTACCTACCTAACTATCTCAAATAGAATATCTAGAGATTAAAAAAAAACATTGAAGATTAGTGAACTTGAAAATAAGTCAAGAAAAACTATCCAAAATATAACACAGAGAAAAAAATAACTGAGGCATAGAGAAAGAACAGCACACCAATGAACTGTGGATCACTGTCAAATGGCCTAATAAGTTGTAATTTGAGTAATAAAAAAGAGAAAGAGGAGGGAGAGAAGAGATAAAATATTTTTTAAAATAATGACCAAAATTAAATTGTGTTCAAAAATGAAAGTGAAATAAAGACACTTTTCAGACACACAAACCTGAAATAACTCATCCTGAAAAGACCTGCACTAAAAGGAATGTTAAAGAGGGTCTTCAGGCAAAAGGGAAATGATATCAAATAGTATCTGGATATACAAAAAGGAATAAAGAACATTTCAAATGATAAATATATGGGTAAATATAAAATATAAGTTATCTTTAAAAGATAATTTACTGTTTAAAGCAAAAATAATAATAGTACATTTGTGGTTTATAGCATATGTAGAAGTAAAATGATGTTAACAATATCACAAAAGCCAATAGTAGGAGAAACAGAAACTTTACTATTGTACCATTCATAAAGTAGTATAACATTAATTGAAGGTAAACTTTGATAAGGTACAGCTGTACACTATTAATATAAATCATAAGGCAATCACCAAGATTATTATAGCTAAATTAGCCAACAAAGGAGACAAAATGAAATCATTAAAAAGTTTAACAAAAAATCAAGCAGAACATTGTTGGGGGGAACTAAGAACTAGCAAGATAAATAGAAAACAAAGAGCAAGATGGTAGGTTTATACCCAACCATACCAATACCACACTAAACGCAAACAGGGTAAACACCCCATTTAAAACGCAGTGATTGTCAGAGAAGACAAAAATGCAAGACCTAAGTATGTGCTTTGAACACAAACCTCCTTTAAATATATACAAATAGGTTAAAAGTTAAAACATGGAAAATTATACACCATGCTAACATTAATCAAGATACAGGTGGAAAGATATATTAATATACAGTAAAGTTGATTTCAGAACACAGAACATTACCAGGGTTAAAGGTGGTCACTTCATAATAATAAGTGGGTCAAATTATTTTTAAAAAACATAAAAATCCTAAATTATACACCTAATTACAGAGCTTAAAATACATGATACAAAAATGATAGAACCACAAAGAGAAACAGATGAATTCACAATTATAGTTGGAGTTTTTAACACCTCTTTCTCGATAACTAACATAAGACAAAATCAGTAAAAATGAAGAAGACATAAATAAAAGACTATCAACCAACTTGACCCAATTGGCATTTATAAAACACACAACCCGAAAAGAGCAGAATACGTATATTTTTGAAGTATAAAAGAAACAATTACTAAGAGATAAAATATTTCGAACTATAAAACAAGCATAAAAACATTTGAAAGTATTGAAATCATAAAGAGTATAGTTTCTGACCATAATTGAATTAGAAATTAATAACATCCAGAAAACTCTCCAAATGTTTGAAAATTAAATTACAAACTACTAAATAAACATTGATAAAAAAAACCATAAGAGTAATTAGATAATAATTTAACACACTAATAAAAATATAACATACCAAAGGTGTGAGATGCAGCTAAAGCGGCACTTTGAGAAAAATTTACAGCCTTTGCTACCTATATTAGCAAAGGAAAATATCTTGAATTATGTAAGCTTTCATCTTAAGAAGCTAGAAAAAGAAGAGCAAATTAATATCAAAACCAGAAAAAAAGGAGAACAATAATAAAGATGATCAGATAAATCAGTAAAATAGAAACAGATTAACAATTAAAAAAAGAGTGAAGCCAAAAGCTGGTTTGAAAAATTCAATGAAATTAATAAACCTTCAGCCAGAGTGATCAAGGTAAAAAGAAATAACACACATTTCCTATAAGGAAAGGAATATTACCAAAAAAACTTTAGAAATTAAAAAGACAACAAACAAATATTATTTACAAAATTATGCCAATAAATTTGACAATCTAAATGAAATGGACAAATTTCCAGAAAGACACAAATTACCCAAGGAGAAGCAGGAAATTTAACAGCACTATACAAATTAATGAAACTAAACAAATTAATTCTAATTAAAATTATTTCCTCAAAGAAAATTCCAGGTCAAGATACCATTACTTATAAAATAAAATTTATGATACATTTAGAGGAAAAAATAATGCCAATTCTATAAAATTCCTGCAGAAAAATTGAGAGGAAGAAAGATTTTCTGACTCATTCTATAAAAATACATTTACTCTAATACCACATCATGACAAACGATATCATAAAACAAGAAAACTTCAGACTAATATCTCTCATGAATATAGATTCAAAAAATACCAATCAAAAAAGTTGGCAAATTGAATACAACAACATATAAAAAGCCTATAGTGCTTCATAAGGCCAAGGCAGGAGGATCACTTGAGGCCAAGATTTCAACACCAGCCTGGGCAACATAGCAAGACCCCATCCCTACAAAACTTTAAAAAATAATAAAATTAGCTGGATTCAATGGCACATACCTGTGGTCCCAGATAATAAGGACAGTGAGGCAAGAAGATTAAGTCCAGGAGTTTAAGGTTATAGTGAGCTCTGATCACACCTCTGCACTCCCATCTGGATGACAGAGTAGAGCCTTTCAAAAAAAAAGAAAAAAAGAAAGAAAAAAAAAGCCACCAGGTGTGGTGGCTCACTCCTGGAATCCCAATACTTTGGGAAGCCAAAGCAGAATGATTGCTTGAAGCCAGGAGTTCAAGATCAGCCTGGCCAACATAGTGAGACCCCATCTCTACAAATAAGATTTTTGAAAAATTAGCTGTGCATGATGATGTATGCCTGTAGTCCCAGCTACTCAGCAGGCTTAGATGGGAGAATTGCTTGAACCCAGGAATTTGAGGCTTCAGTGAGCTATGACCATGCCACTGAACTCGAGTCTGGGTGACAGAGAAAGACCTCATCTCTAGAAAATATATATATATTTAAAATGTTTATAGAATTATATAATATAACCAGTGGGATTTACACCAGGAATACAATGTTAGTTGAACATTTTAAAAATCAATCAGTGTAAGTCATCCTATCAACTGAAAACAAAACCAATCATTTTGATGGATACAGAAAAAGCATTTGACAAAATTTAAGATGCTTTCATAATAAAATCTCCCAGCAAACTAGGAAAAGTGAACTTCCTCAATCTGATTA